TCTGTGTATTCAAAGTGGTTAGGATAGATATATAGTTACATTCTCTTAATGAATAGAATGATTTGTTCTAATGGTGTTTGTAAATAGGATCTCAAGTCTGCATCTTGTACAGCAACTAACCAAGAAGAATATAAGCAGTGTATCATTTGTTGAAACTGTACTTCTGATTTGATTTGAAACAGCTCATTGTTATCTGTCTATCAATAAAATTTTGAGAAAAAAAAAAAAGCTGGACTGTAACTTATAGTCTTCCGGATGCCTCAGCTTCCCAGAGTGCTGGTCTGCTAGTTTCAATCTAATTTTTGTACTTTATCACAGATCTTATGGAAGAGAAATTCTTTGATCCAACTCCATTATTTAATGAAAAAAAACCTAGTATTTGTACTTATTGCAGGATGGTTCTTTTTGAATCTGTCAAATTTGGTGATTTTTATAAATCAGTGTTGACTATTCGAACACAATTCTAAAATTAATCAGAAATAATCAAGTAAAAATACTAAAGACTAAAACAAGAAAAAAATTTTTTTTTCTTTTTCTTTCTTTTTTTTTTTTTTTTTTTGTGGAACCAGGAATTGAACTCAGGCCCTTATGTTTGCCAGGGAAGCGCTTATTCTACTGAGCCATCCCCCTGGCCCTAAGGAAAAAATCTTACAATATCTAGCAGAGCATTGCCAGAAAATAAATGGTATATAAAGTAGCAACAGCACAAAACTGATGACAGTAAGAAAAATTAAGTAAAGATCAAAGAGAGTATTACTAGTCATGTTAGCAGTACTAATTAAGGTGCTTTTTGTTTTTGTTTTTTGTTTTTTGTTGTGGCGGAACTGAGGATTGAACTCAGGCCCTTACACTTACTTGCCAGGCAAGCACTTATTCTACTGAGCTATCTCCCCAACCCCTCATAATATTGTTTGGAATGGAGATTATTTTATGCGGTAGTAAGAAAGAGAAGTTTCAATAAATAGTAATAAATAATGACTGGCAATCTAAACAAAAATCTAGATTCTCATATCATAGATGACAATCAAATTCTAACTGAATGTAAAAATAAATTGAACTTTTAAATATAAAAAGGACCTGGTAATTCATAAGCTCAACTGACAATGAGAAATGTAACGAATTGGCTCTACATGGTCAATATTGGGTCACATGGGGAAAATGTAAAGAAATGAAGTTATTTCTAAATGTAAAATTGACAGTGCACAAAAACACAGCTCTCAGTCTGGGAGGATAGCTCAGCGGTCTAAGCACCTGCCTGGCAAGCACAAGGACCCAGGTTTGATCCCCAGTACCACATGCCATGCTGGTCCTACAACCCCAGGTGTGCTGTGCTGGCCACCAAAACCTGGTGTGGTGGTACATGCCTGCAATCCCAGTATTGGGGAGACTGACACAGGATCACTACAAGTCTGAGCTTACTCTGTGAAACCCAGTATGAAAGACAGAAAGACAGACAAACAGAAAGAAAGAAAGGAAAGAAAGAGAGAGAGATAAAGCTCCCATCTGCAGAAAATGCTTAGGGACTTTAACAAGGAGATACAAAATCATAAGTCATAAAAACAACACAAAGTACAGTTAATATCATAAAATAAAAACCTAAATAAAGAATTAAAAATAGAAAATGCACACAGAAAAACCTCCAGCCCATTAGTATTTAGAACTTATAAACAACAGTTGAGATTTTGGTCTATTAAATGCAGTTAATAGACATTTAACCAACTATGTAAAACAAATAAAATGTATCTTGTGGAGGGCAGTGTTGGTCCAAGCCTTCTAGACCTTTCTGCTAAAAGAGAATTGTCACTAGATTAAATGTCCATTGGTAGAGAACTATAGACATGACACATTAATTCAGTGGGCAATAATATCTTGTAAAAATATAAGTAAGAAAAAAATATATAAGATCTATAGATACTAACATTGGGCAAGTATAAAGGGTGGAGAACTGTGTGATGTTATGGTCTCTTTTACATAATAATAAGGTGTAATACAACAATTTTCCTTAGCTTACATATCGATAAAGAAACTGAAAGGATTTGAAAACAATAGCAACATTAAAAACGTTCTAAAATTTGGAAGAAACTCTGTCAACATATATAAATTTTGTTAAAATTTACCACTTATTCCACAAATGCAAGCCAAAATGTCCACTTAGAGAAAAATACCGGCATAGGGGAACACTCAAACATCATGGATAACAATACTTTGGACATACTGACTTTAATATATTACCAAACACTCTCCAAAGCAAGATAAAGTTTTGTGCATAGATTCTATAAGCTTATATTCTATAAGAATATTCTATATAAGAATATTCTACATACAATAGAGAACAAGAAGGTATGTATCCATGGGCAAATAACAGGTACAGTGAACAGTTCCTAGAAAATTATGTAGCCATTTAAAAAGTAGTGAGTAGAAAAGCATGACAAAATTATTTATGATGGCATCGCACTGCAAGCCAAAACTTCAGAACGTATAATTTGCATACTCTACTATTGTCATATCTTAGTAGATACAAATACAGTTTTAAAATAATTTTTAAAAATTGAAACTATGAACCAAAGTTATCCTTCAGGAGTCTACTAATTGAATAGCGTGAGAGAAAAAGTCTCAAGTGCTTTATGGTTTGAAAAAAAAAAAAAAAAAGAAAGAAAGAAATCCAAGCACCCTCCTACGACATTCTTTTTTTACTACAGTTACAGAAAAACGTCATCATTTCCTTGTTATTCAAAGACAGAAGCCAGGAAGAGGAACTAGTAAAGAAAAAGCAGACACCGGACAAACTTTATGCCAAAAGCGCAGCCCAAAGCACACCCACTCACGCAGCCTGCTTAACCGCGCCCTCCCCGCGGGAGAACCGCGCCGCAGCCACCCGCCAGAGCAGCGCGGCTCGCCCCCTCCTCCCGCGCGCGAGAGCGAGGCTCCGCACCCGCGCAGGCGCAGTGGCCGCACGGCCGCTCCTAGCCCGGGGCATCCTGGGAGGCGTCCTTTCCGGAAGAACTGGCTCGGCGTCCGGCACTAGGCTGGTGTTCCAGACCCAGGGCCAGGCCTTGGCCCAGGCCGGTGTTCCAGAACCTCCCTAGAAGATAGGCCGGTGGCCGCGGCGACACTGGTAACAGCGGAGGGCGCAGCGGGCCGCGCGCCGAGGTGTCCGCCTCACCGCGGAGCGAGCCACGGAGCTGCAGGACGTGGCGGCGCCTCCTCCTTGGCCCGGAGCGGAACTGCTTGTGGGGCGGCCGCGGAGGCCAGACGAGGTGAACCGGGTCATTTAACTGCCTCGGGTGATGAGTCAACAGCCTAATAAGCTGATTTGAGGCCCACATCCCTTTGTGGTCGTGCAGCAGAACAGTTTTCAGTGGATGACTGGTGTGGCTTGCGGGGTGCGGCGGTGACTGCTTGCCCTTGATAAGAAAAGCGAGCTCTCTTGCTCTTCGGACAACCCTGTTTCCTGTGAAACTTTCAGGTTACAGCTTCTTTCTCTTGCGTGTATCTCAAGAGGAAGGCTTTCACATGAAAGTGTCTCTTGGCAACGGCGATATGGGCGTCTCTGCCCACCTGCAGGCTTGCAAGGCAGGAACCACACGATTTTTTACCAGCAATACTCACAGTTCGGTGGTATTGCAAGGCTTTGATCAGCTAAGAATAGAGGGGTTGCTTTGCGATGTGACCCTCGTACCGGGTGATGGAGATGAAATCTTCCCTGTTCACCGAGCTATGATGGCGTCTGCCAGTGATTATTTCAAAGCTATGTTCACAGGGGGAATGAAAGAACAAGATTTAATGTGCATTAAGCTTCATGGGGTAAACAAAGTTGGTCTGAAGAAAATAATTGATTTTATATATACTGCAAAACTTTCTCTTAATATGGACAATCTTCAGGACACACTAGAAGCTGCCAGCTTTTTACAAATTTTGCCTGTTTTGGATTTCTGCAAAGTATTTCTTATATCAGGAGTCTCCTTGGATAACTGTGTTGAGGTTGGACGAATTGCTAACACCTATAATCTCATAGAAGTAGATAAATATGTTAATAATTTCATCCTGAAGAACTTTCCTGCTCTGTTGAGTACTGGGGAATTTCTAAAGCTTCCTTTTGAACGGCTTGCCTTTGTGCTTTCCAGTAATAGTCTTAAGCACTGTACTGAGCTTGAACTCTTCAAGGCTGCCTGCCGTTGGCTGAGATTGGAAGACCCTCGGATGGATTATGCTGCAAAATTAATGAAGAATATTCGATTTCCATTGATGACACCACAAGACCTCATCAATTACGTGCAGACAGTCGATTTCATGAGAACAGACAATACCTGTGTGAATTTGCTTTTGGAAGCTAGCAATTACCAAATGATGCCTTACATGCAGCCAGTGATGCAGTCAGACAGAACTGCCATTCGATCTGATTCTACTCACTTGGTTACATTAGGAGGAGTTTTGAGGCAGCAGCTGGTTGTCAGCAAAGAATTACGGATGTATGATGAAAGAGCTCAAGAGTGGAGAGCCTTAGCCCCTATGGATGCTCCTCGTTACCAGCATGGCATTGCTGTCATCGGGAACTTCCTTTATGTCGTTGGTGGTCAGAGTAATTATGATACAAAAGGAAAAACTGCTGTTGACACAGTTTTCAGATTTGATCCTCGGTATAATAAATGGATGCAGGTAGCATCATTAAATGAAAAACGCACATTCTTCCACTTGAGTGCCCTCAAAGGACATTTATACGCAGTTGGTGGGCGCAGTGCAGCTGGTGAACTGGCCACAGTAGAATGTTACAACCCAAGAATGAATGAATGGAGCTATGTTGCAAAAATGAGTGAACCCCACTATGGCCATGCTGGAACAGTGTATGGAGGCTTAATGTATATTTCAGGAGGAATTACCCATGACACTTTCCAAAATGAGCTTATGTGTTTTGATCCGGATACAGACAAGTGGACACAGAAAGCCCCGATGACTACAGTCAGAGGTCTGCATTGTATGTGTACAGTTGGAGATAAGCTCTATGTCATTGGTGGCAACCATTTCAGAGGAACAAGTGATTATGATGATGTTCTAAGCTGTGAATACTATTCACCAACCCTTGACCAATGGACACCAATTGCTGCTATGCTAAGAGGTCAGAGTGATGTTGGAGTTGCTGTCTTTGAAAACAAAATCTATGTTGTTGGTGGATATTCATGGAATAACCGTTGTATGGTAGAAATTGTCCAGAAGTATGACCCAGAAAAAGATGAATGGCACAAAGTTTTTGATCTTCCGGAGTCACTTGGTGGCATTCGAGCTTGCACTCTCACTGTTTTTCCACCTGAAGAAAACCCTGGATCACCTTCTAGAGAGTCGCCTCTTTCAGCACCTTCAGATCATTCTTAGGTTTGTAGTGTCTTGGATAATTTCATGCTTCCCTTCAATTGTATCTTACAGTGATTGGTACAGTTACTACACAGAAAGGTAACATGTTATTTGTCTTGTTTGGCTTAGTATGTTTATTAAATGTGTAACAAGTGCATTCTGAAAATGTATTCAACATACTCAGCTATGTTAATGAAAAAAATGTAGAAAAATGTTTAAGTTAGATATCTTTTTGTAGTGCTACATAGCAAAATTGTAGGTGACAATTGTAAGTGTATAGTTATATCTGTGCTTCAAAGTTGAAAATTTTTATCTGACTAAAAAGCATTAAAGGAGGCCATCTGCTCTAGTCTGAAAAAATAAAAGGTTGTCAAGTATTATTAGCCACTTCCCTCCTTGCATAGACTGTTTCATGTATCTGCCAACTCTTGTGATTGTGTGGTTACACTTAGAATAACCCAAAGTCAGGATTTGCAATCCAGAGAGAGAAAGGAGAAATATGTATACACAGTGCAAATGCATACACATATATTTGTAAGTATATATAAAATTTTAAAATTGATTAGCATTATAACTATAGTAAAATTTTCAATTTTTTTCTTCCATAGAACAGCTGCTTCTAATTCAGTATCAGAAAATAAATGTCCATACAGTTACATAGAATTTAGATAGCTAGGGGCTACAGTACTTTAAGTGAACAGCCAGATTTGTCATTTGACGAAATTGTTTAGTCAGATAAAGCTTAACATTACTTTTTTCTGCTTGTAACATTACCTTTTTCTGCTTATTTTCTGTAGGACTTTTTCTACAGGTTATTTAGCAAAGTGCAAATTTCAGAAAATTATTTTTGCTCAGTGACTTTAATTTTGCTTTTTTTGACCTTTTTGTACAGCAACATTTATGATATGAAAAAGGAAAAAAATATATATATATATATGCTGAGCAAAGCTATAGGATTTTAAGTTCAGTCTCCCAACTTAAACATCCTGACATGATTATTTTGTACTTGGGGTTGATTGCCCTGGTGCTGCTGCAGCCCACATACATTCTGAGCTGTGTTATCTGCCTCAAGGTTATAAACTGAGCAAGCAAGAGATATAGTCTCTTCTGTATCAAATCAGAAAAAAGTCCTTTCTGCCATGTCTCAAGGTCAGGACCAACTTCAGACTCCCTCAGAAGCCTGCTACAGAAAGCTTATAACAATCTTGTCTTGCATGCAGTACTAAAGTAGATCTTCAACTTTGTCAATACCAAGGGCACACGTACTGGTTGAGAATTACATAGGGGAAATTTTATGATGACCCTACTACCAAATGAAAATTGTAGGCGACCTCTGTAACAACAGTTCTGATGAGGTGCTTTCTTGGAGTACTTTCCTGTAGAGAAAAATGTACTTTCATCCTTGTATCTGGGAGATTGTCAGAGTGTAAATCAAGAACTCTCGCTATCCACAATCCCGTAATAAAACTCAGGAAGCAAGGGAAAAGGAACTGGCTTCTAGGGATCTGAACCTTACTGCCCATACAAGTGTTGATTCATTTTAATGCTTTTTATGGTTTCTGCATTGGCAGATATTTTCATACTTTATTTTTTTTTTTTTTAGTGGTTCAGTTTTATTACTAAAAACAATACATGTAGAAAATAGAAAAACTAGAAATTGCTATTAACTTTGTGTACTGGGGCTAGGGAGATGGCTCAGTAGAATAAGCACTTGAATGGCAAGTGCAAGGGCCTGAGTTCAATCCCTGGTTCCACAAAAATAAATAAATAAATAACTGTGTATTGGATAAGCAAGAAATGGCATTCCAATCATTCTTTAATTATTGAGACTGAATATTTATGTATTTAGGGTAACCGTGTTTCCTTCTTGGTCAAGTGTTCATATCCTCTGCCCTTGTGATACCTACTGGAGTTATATTGTTTTTCATATCAAGTTATAGGACCTGTTTATATAATAAATATTATTTAACTGACTCTTGCTTTGATTTTTTTTTTCCTCAATCCCTTATGGTTTTTTAGATGCAAGACCATTCAGATAAGTTTGCAATCAGGCTTATGCATCTTTTTGTATTCTAATTTTAGAAGTAACTTCATTTTAAGGAGCTTTGAAGTAACTAGAAAGATTTATTTTCATATGTCAAGAATAACAGATAAAATCAGATAATAAAAATGTGACAAATCCAACTTATAAAGATGAAAACTAATTTTTTTTTTTTTTTTTTTTTTTGAGACAGGGTCTTACTATGCAGTTCAAGTTATCCTTGAGCTCATTTTGTAGCCCAGACTAGTCATAAACTCGCTGCAGTCCTGCCCCAGCCTCCCAAGTGCTAGGATTTTAGGCTCATGCCACCATGCCCAGCTTTGTTCAGTTTTTAAATCTGTAGATATTAGAAAATATCTAAAGTGCTTTTCCCTAATTACCAATGCGTATGCAGTAAGAAAAAAATTTTAGTTTTACATAGCTAATGCAGATGTGTTCCCCCACACGGTAGCTAACAGTATGCTTTGTACTTTGCCTTCAAAATGTAGGTATTTGATCATGTTTGTATGTTTTTGCTTTGCATTTAAAATACTGTTTATTCTCATAAAAATAAAATGTTTCTACAGAACATTTTTAAACTTAAAAACACCATCAAGGATGAAAACTAGTGTCCCATCAATAGCTCAACCAGTTGTTAACTGCTGAAAGACCTGGGATAAACATGCTTCATGTTCCTGTGTGATTTCTTCAGATCCTTTATATTGTATATATATCGGGGCTACCAGGAGAGGATGTTACTAACATTGCTTGAGAGAGAAACGTTCAGTAGTTAGTAGGTACTACAGAGAAAGCTAGCATCCTTTTATCATTTATTTTTATTTTAATTTCATTTTGCTCTGCAGTAGGGTTGAAAGTGTTATATCTATACAGTATTGCATTGAATGAATGTGCCATAACATATCACTTATTATATTTCAGGATACCACATTTTTACCATTCTAAATCAGGATCTAAATATTTATCTTTTCCCAAGTGTACCACCGTATGGTACATTGTGAGTAAATCTGAATAGTTATACCTTTTTAGGCTCTTGAAACTGTTTCTAGGGGAGAGCCAGGGAGATGGCTCAGTAGAATAAGCGCTTCACTGGCAAGTACAAGGGTCTGAGTTCAATCCCCCCCCCCCGCATCTGCTTCTGCAAGGGTCTGAGTTCAATCCCTGGTTCTACCAAAAAAAATAAACTGTTTCTAGGAATATGGGACTTGCATTTCCAGCAGAGCGTCATTCAGTGATTGCCTCAGAGGGAATCTGCAGTTCTATTTTTAATTTTAAAAATGACAGGTAACGTTTTTCTTTGTTGAGTATATGTATTTCTTGCATACACATAATTTGTTTCTAACTTACTTTAACCATTCTGTTTCCTTTAAATAATTTCCATTTTATTCACAGCATGATTAATCAGATATGTCCATCTTTTTTTTTTTTTTTTTTTTTTTAAGTTTTGACCTTTTGGTGATAACTTTGCCATTTTTTTTTATTTTGTTGGTGTGTCCCATTATTTGATATATATTTAAATGATTGAGTACGAGTTACAGTAAAAGACTTACAAGTTAAGGATAACTTCACATACTGTAGAAGTTCTGTTCTGGAGTTGTGAAGCTGAAGTTGTGTTCACTAATCACAATTTAGTTCACTAAATACTGGAGAACACAATTCCACTGATTAGCCCCTACTTTGTAGAATTTAATGGTATTCTGCCATCTAGTAGTTGAAATTGAAAGTGCTTGTTCAGTTAGACTCCAGGAAAATGTTACTTCATTTAAACGAAGCAACAATAACAAAAATCAAAAACTTTTTGTAGGACATGTGAAAATGAGGTTATTGATCATTATCAATTATACACAGTTCACCAAAAATGTATACACACTTAAGGAAAAGAAAAATTGTAAATTTTTATTATTAAATTTATTGACACTATGAGATTAATACAGGTTACCTTCAGCCTCTACAATTTCAAGAGATGCCCAAAGTGGTGGCCATGAGCTTCCAGACAGTTATTAATATGGCAAACCTCTGCTTGGGCAACCCTGGTCATTGAGATCACAGCACATTGCTTTTTAATTTCTTCTGTAAGAACCAGCAGTGTAGTGGGTTCTCCTCTGGGGTCTCCCATATGAGGATAACACCATGTGTTGAAAAAAACACTTTTTTCTGAGGTGTGTATCCATTTTTTTTTTTGCAGACCCTACAAATATAAAAACCTATGGTAACTTGGTGTATACTAAGTCAAATAATCAGAGCAACATGCCTGTAATCTCAGCACTCTGGGAGGATTGAAAGTTTAAGACCTGTCTAGGCAGTTTAATGAGACCCTGACTCAAGAGTTCAAAAAGCAAAATAAGGGCTGGGGTGTAGCTAAGTGCAAAGGCCCTGGGTTTCATCCCGTTATCTATACACACACACACACACACACACACACACACACACACACACACGGTGGAATCCATTTAACTTGCTTTGACTTATTCATATAACTTGAATAAAAAATCTGCAGCATTTCATGCAAATTATAAGCATTAAGAGCTATTGTTGCTGCTTTTTTGTGTGCATGTTCCCTGTGCTTTTATTTTTACTTTTTTTTTTTTTTTTTGCAGAACCAGGGGTTGAACTCAGGCCCTGGGCTTGCCAGGGAAGCACTTATTCTACTGAGCCATCTCCCCGGCCCCTATTTTTACTTTTTAGCAGAAAATGTCATTACAAAAATAGTTTTAAATCTATGAATCACAGAAAGGATATGGTATGCAGTATATCCAAATATAAATAAGACAACCTCAAAGTATTCTAAAAGCTTTTTATGTTGATTTGCCCGTGTGGCTGTATCAAGTCACTCATGCTATATAGCCTTGTAACTTTTACCCATCCCAAGAGACCATGTATACAGGATACACATGGGTAATATGGACCAACTGATCCTGAAGGGTTTTTTTAGTACTATGCATGAACTCTTAAGTATTTCTTGGGTACATCAACAGTACGAGTG